GTATTGCTAAGGTTAATTGCGTCCTGTTACGAGAACTCATCAGCACCTCTAAAACCTAACCTAACCCTAACCTAACCTAAAACCTAACCTAAAACCTAACCCTAACCTAACCTAACCTAAAAACCTAACCTAACCTAACCTAACCCTAACCCTAACCCTAAAACCCTAACCCTAACCCTAAAAACCCTAAAACCCTCTCGCGTAAGCGCCTCGTTAACTACGGCGTAGTACTAATAGCCCTTATTTATAAGGGTAGTAATAGGTAAGGAGTTATTAATTATAACCTATATTAAAGTAGGCTCTTTTTCTATATAAGCGGATAATTCCTCCTTCTCCCTTACTAGTATTAGTAATTAGGGCTCTAGAGATTATCTTTACTTTAGAGCTACTCTTTTTCCTCTAGGCCTAGGGGGGCGGAGTCCTCCTTATTATCTAAGGTAAGGAGCGGTTTTATCTTCGCTACTCGAACTACTATAGGCCGCTTAGCTAAAAGGAAAGGGCATTTTAATATAAAGTATATAGATACTCTATAATATAGGTAGCGGCCGTTAGCCTTCCTTTTCTTAATTTCCTTACTTATTACCTACTTCGCCCGCTAATTAAAGTATAGAGCGGTATAAGGGGTAGTCGATAGCGTCTTCTTACCGCGTCTAGCTTAGTCTATATAGGTAGCCGATATTAAGGTATCCTTATCTATATTAATAGCTAGTTATTTATCTTATAAAGGGGCGGTAATCCTATCGCCGCTATATAGCGTGCGCTTATAGAGCTTTTAGAAACGCGGCGTTTATTTATAGTCCTAAGCTACCTTTATTAACTAGCTTATATACTCGCTATAGTTAGTAGGTATAATTATAGGGATAAGTAGCTCTTATAGGGCTAGCGTAATCGAATTCCGTAGCTATATAAGCTTTACGCTATCTTCCTATACTATAGTCCCCGCTGCCTATAAGAGCGTCTCTTTAAAATTAAGAAGGAATTCGCTAAAGGTTTATCTATCTCTCTATTTAAGGGTCTATAGCCTATCTTATACTTTCTCCCGCTCTTATACGTTGCCGAACGTATATATAAGGTATTAAAAGAAGTCTTATAGGTCGCGTTTGCCCCTAGGGCCGCCCTTATCCTAGAATCTAGAGATCCGCTATATCTAAGGCTCCGGTAGCGTATAGAGGAGCAAATACTATACTATATCGCAATAGCTATTTAGGCCCTATTTCTTATTAGTTATAAACTTCGTCTATAGCTAGCTAAGGAAGAAGTAAAAGGACTCTAGCTTACTATCCTAAGTCGGCTAAGGGAGTAGCTTCCGCGTCGGTAGTATCGCCGCTATAACCGGCGTTACGGAGGTCGTAGGGGTTAAAGCTAGTCTCGTAAACGGCTCCCTTAATATAGCGAGAACCTCGTCCTTCTCGCTAGCTATTGCGCTTTTAATCGCTTTTAGGATAGCTATAATACTTCCTATCTATTTAAGGAGGGGCGGAGTACTTCCTCGAGGGGGAGGCGCCCTCTCTAAAGAGATATCTATTAGATCTATTAGTTAATAGCTTATACTATTATAGAGTAGATAGAGGCGTAGGTATAGGTGCCGTCTATAAGATAATATTAATAAGCTATATAGAGCTCTTTTATACGCGGCTAGCCTATATATATATATATAGGATCTAGCCCTCTATATATAACTATATAGCTTAGGCTATAGCCTAAGCCTATAACCTATAATAGTTTAAAGACTCTTATATAGGGTCGCGGATTTATAGTAATAGCTCTCTAAGGTCCTAATAGTAGTAATTAGTATTAAATTTACTTAAAAAGGGGGGGGGTCTTTATTAACGGCTTCTTAAGCTACTATTATAAGAGAATATTATGCTTTTTAAGCGTTAACCTAGCTTAAAGGCGTTAAAGGATCGTGTATATATAAGGCAGCCTAAGTTAGTATATAAATCGCTTACTATAAGGCCGCAATAGCTATAGCTCCCGCGTTAGTAAAGGTATCGCGGCGAGGGCAAGCCTATATTATATAGTAAGTAGGTTAACTACTTCGTAGGTAATTTTTATACTAAGATCCCTAAGCTAAGTCTACTTAAGGAACTAACGCCTTTATTATATCTCTTACTAAGCATCGCAGCGCTAGTAATAGCTTTAAATTTAGTATATATATATAGGTTATATATATATAGGTTATATATACGGGCGGGCGTAGGCGCGGGTGCGGGCATTTAAGCGGTATAAGTACTTACTAAGCGCGCGCGGTATAAATAGGTAGGGCGGGCTAGCTTTAGTATATATCTTAAAAATAGGTCGAGTATATAGATAGCAATATACTATTATATAAATAGCAATACTTTAAGGTATAGTCTAAGTAATAAAGTATAAGTTATATTAATAATAAGCTTATAATTATATATTATAAACTATAACTAGGTAATTATAATTAAAGATAGATTATAATAAAGATCTTTATTAAAAGCTATTAAGCTATCTATACTAAAAAAGCAAAATAAGATAGCTTTATATACTAAGAGGTTCTTTATAGAAAAAATACTACTTAGTTTACTTAGTATACTTAGTCTACTTAGTACTAATCTAACTAATTAGACTAATCTAACTAATTAGTTATATAACTTAATATTATTAAGTTACCCTATACCCTATAAGATTCTAACCGCTAAGGTGCTATAGCTTACTTCTTAGCTAGTCCCCCTTATAGTTAGCTAGGCTATAATATTTAGTTATAGTAAGCTAATAACCTAGATTAGCTAGATAGTAGTAAGGCGGCTATTTAAAAACTATAGGAGAAATACTATGCCCTGACTATAGAGCAAGATATAATACCGGAGCAACCTATAGTCCTATAGAAAATAATAGACTTAGATAACTATATAGATTTAATTAGGAAGCTAAGTACTTAGCTAGCTCTATCTATATCTACGTTATAAAACAAGTATATAGAAACCTATTCTCTATCCTAGCTATATTATCTAAGCTAGAGCATATCTTTAGTCTAATAGGACAGATAATTACTCTATAAAGGGGAAGGCTTAAAGCTAATTTAATAGGGGCTATATAGTATATTGCCTCTTAGGAGAAAGGCGGAGTTATTTAGATAGTTAAATAGATCTAGATTAAGCAGTGCTAAGTTAAATTAAATTAGATTGAGTTGAAAATTTTAAGACTTAAATCAGATTAAATTAGATCTGCTTCTATTTTTTACTAAATTAAATCAGATTAAAGCTAGCTCTGATTTAATCTATCTATTTACAAGTCTATAACGAAATATAATAGACTCTTAGCGACTTTAAAATAATATAAGAGGTTCGATCGAAAGTTATAAATATAAGCACATGCTAACGGCTTATAGCACCCGCATTTCAAATTAACCTAGGGTATATAAACGCTTATAGGGATGTTATGTTACGGTTAGTACTTAGCTAACTAGACTGCCTACTATCCTATAAACTTAGAAGAGTTATAAGTATCTGGATCTAGATTAAGAAGAAAGAAAGTTTTAACAGCTACTAAGTCTTTATAAGCTGGGATTGATCCCTGACATGTGCCCGTTAAACACTATCTATTACTCCCCGGTTTCTTCTGAGGGCCAAGTAATGAAAGAATTCTTAGGGCCTAGAAGAACCGGTGGCCCTTCTACAGTTTCCTTGTATCTCGATTCCATTTCTACAGGCCATGCTGAACTACCTGCATCTTTGTCCAAGTTGCGGCTTGGTGATACCCTCACTACTTCGAATGAGTTTATATGTGGCGTATAGCCGTGACTTGTCTGATGCCTGTGTTCCTACGCTGTCATAGGATTCTTGATCGAAACGGTGATGTGTGGTTGATCCTTAACATATACACCGCGAGTCCTAGTCGTTGGGTGAATGTAGGATCTAAAATATTAATATTAGCCAAATGACACTATGAACTAACTCGGGAAATTTTATTAGAAAAAATTACCGAATTAAGACTGTGGTTACGCTGGGATCGGTTTGCACGGCTGTCTCATAAGCAGCATACATGAGAGCTCTTGCAATCGCTTCGCTCCTTGGGCGCACGACCTTCCAAACATATTCAATTGGTTGTGAAGCCATCGTAAAGAGTCAGAGTGTTTGCTAATGAGCTTGTACTCGGTGGTGGGCTCTAAATATAAGGGGAGAATTGAAGACTGAAGGACTGCAGGCGATTTTCTGAGAGAAACGCTAGCCAACCCGCCTATATGCACGAACCATCTACGTTACATTCGTTTAAGTGCGGGGTTCACAGTTTAGCGACGCCTAACATAACAAGAGTAAGAAGGAGGGGAAAGGGAGGTAGCCCTTCACAAGGATACATGTAGGCGGGTAAGAGCGGCTGTAACTCCACACGCATATATATACCTATTGTTATTAGTGCACGCCTACATCCCACTGCGCCTCAACGCCTGTCTCTCCCACGCTGGCTTAGCCCACTTTGTCATGTAATCAGAAAGAATTAGGTCATCTGCTTCTGGCCTCTTTGAAGGCTCAAATGTGAGCATTGCCCGCAGAAGATCGTGTAGTGCATGCAGCTCTCCACCAGCCACGTCCCATTGGCATGTCTCTGCCGTCTCTCCTCGACCCATTTCCCACAATCGTTGAAGTAGGGGGCGGAACGTCGGCGTAGCGAAGCAACGATGGCCTGAAACGCAGGATTGACCATCGGCTGCGAAAAATTCATGACGACAAGACCAGCGATGCCACCATGGCTCAGGCAGGGGCCCCAGTGTATTGACCATTTCGCCAATGATGTCGTCACGATCCCACCCAAAAGTCTCGAAGAGTGGTCGTTCCCCGAGCACTTCGTACAGGACAAGCCCCAATGTCCAAATATCGGCAGCCATGGGCAGAAGAATGGGGTCGCCGAATAAGGCCTCGGGGGGGCAGTAGAGGGCTGGGGTATACAAGGTTGGCGATGGTGTCTGCTTGACGAGGAAGGAGGTTCCATAGTCGGATATGAGGATCTCGGGGCCTTGCAACCGGTGTCCTGGAATGTTGTGGTTCATTGGGAAAATGGCATGCGGTGGCGCGTTGGGCTGGACTGGGCCTCCGTCTCGGCGTCGGACTGTAACGCTGCGAGGCTCACCAAAGCGCTCATACAGGTCGGTGGAGCTCATATTGCATGTGCTGAGCTCGGAGTCGCGCAATAGAATGTTACGCATATGGAGATCTTAGAAAGGTAGATTAGATGGAGCCAGATGGCACTCGGCGTAAATGATGTAGGCATACCTCCGTGACATACGCCGTTGGAGTGCAAATAGGCCAGTCCCATGAGGCACTGAGCGGCAATAGACCGAGCAGCCTCGGCTGGAAACATGTAGTTTGCGCTTTCTTCTTTGGACTGTGCGACATTGCAGCCGGCAGGCTCACTGACCAGACAGAGGTGGTGGCCATTTGGCCCGTCGAAGCCGAACTGATCGAGCAACACTGGGATAAATCGCCGCCCGATATGGGCCAACGTCGGTGTCTGCTGCAAGGTGCGGATAATGGTGGCTTCGTTTCTGTCGACTGACGAGCGAGCCGTCAGAATTTTGAGGGATACAAGGCGGTTGAGCAGCTCGTCGCGCGCCAGCCAGATGGTCGAGTAGCCGCCGAAGCCGAGCTTGTGGACTATGGTGTAGCGCCCATGTTGAAAGCTGTCGCCTATGACAGTCGGGTGGAAGCCGCCAGGGGCATATTCTTCCAATTCTTCGACCTCTGGTTCTTCGTCATATTTCTTTTCCATATGGGCGGCTGCTGAGTAGAGACGGGCAGGATGACGATGACTTGCTGAGTGACTAATTGGGTAGGCAAGCACTTTTGCTCGTCCAAGGATAAGCTTGCTATAAAGGGATGGAATGATTTTCCTGCCGCAGGCTCTCATCGTCAGTCGCCTCGGCAGATGAGTGCGGGACAAAGAGGCAAGCTAAGCCGTCGGCTTGCCTGATGATTCACTGCTCACGTGACCGCATTAGCCATGTCAATATACATGTACTAAGTGAATGTCACAGATCTGGTTTTGGTGGGCGGTCAGCAGATTACCCTATGGGTAAGGCAACCCCGCACGGGTTATATAATAAGCCTTTTAGAATAAAGATTACGACTAAAGGGGGAAGAAAAAGGGAAAGTATATAGAGAGGCAAAAGAATAGATAAGTAGGGTATAATAGTCTACTAAGTCTAATAAATTTTCTTAAGGTAATAAGGAAAAGTCTAGAAGCTAAAGAGAAGTAAGAAAAAAAAGTTATATAAAAGTAAAGATTAATATATATAAAGTAAAAGAAGAGAAAAGAAAAGAGAAAAGTAAAGAATATATATTTATATTATCTTAATAATATAGTAAAAGTATAGGCCTAGATTATATAATAACTAGGTTATTAAAATTATTATTATTAAAAAGTTTAGTAGAGATTTAATATAGATTTAGTATTAATTAGATAATAGGTTTATTTTTATATATATTAGTAAAGAAGCTATATAAGTATATTACTAGTACTAGTAATAATAAGTTAAGAAGAGAACTTAGTATAATAGCTATAGTATAAGTAAATATATTACTAAATAGCTTAGTATAAAAATCTAAAGGAAATAGTAGATTTAAGTATAATAGAGTAGGATATTAAAAATCTAGTTAGATATTCTAATTAGTTAAGTAAAGAGGAATAAGTATAGTTTTTATATAAATTATAAAGTAAAGATTAGTAGTAATCTAAGTCTTTAAAGATATAGTTTTAAGTAAAAGTAAGCTACTCTTATATAGATAATTAAGGAGTAACTAAGTAACCTATAATACTATTCTTAGGTACTAACTATAACCTAACTTCTAATATATATATAGCTAAAACCTTAATCTCTATAAGTCTTATAGTTCTAAAGATCTTTAGGTTTAAAGTTAATATAGTATAAGAGCGCTACTAAGAGGTATAGGCTAATAAAGCCCTTAGGTATATAGTACTAATATATTAGTAGGGTATTAATAGGGAATCGTGCCTACCCTACTTATATATTATAAACTACTTACTACTCTAACTAAAAAGGAGAAATCCCTCTTCTTATAAGCTTTAATCTTATAACTATTATAAAGTAAGTAAAGGTATAGGCTTAGGTATAGTCTATTAAAAGAAGGTTAATAATCTATAAGAGGGAAAAGGAAGAGAAGTACGAGCCTAGCCTATATAGGCGCGGAGGCTACTTATATATAGACTTAGCCTAGACCCTAGTCTAGGCCTATATAAGGCAAAAGCCCTTATATTATACCTCTACCTAGCTTTTAAAGAGGCGCGCCTTTAAATAATACCTAATACCGCGCTTAGGGGGATAGAACCCTTACGCGGACTATATACGCTTAGTCGCGGAAAAAACATTAGTAAATAACGTATAATACCCTCCTAAGCGAGCTTCTTAGATAGACTATATTATTAGTAGGGGCCGCGTCCTAGGAGTCGGGCTTTAGCACTTCTAGCTAGGGAGTAAAGGCACGTAGAACGGCGTATAGCTAGCTTCGGTAAGCTTATAGTATCCCGCCCCCCCTATATCGGCGCACGGTAGTAGCTCTTAGTACTATAACGTAGGGGATAGTACTCCGGTATATAAAGCTCCGCTCCCTCCTATATAGGGCTATATAGGCACTCCCTTTTACTATAGTTATATTATATTAGCGGCCTTCCTATATCTTAGCCGCCCTTTCGGTCGCTATAGGTATACGTCCTATTTATATAGTAGCTACTACCGTCTATAAGGGGACGCCGATAAAGCCTATAAAGGCGTTACTAAGATTACTCGTTGCTAGAGTCGCTATCGTTAAACCTAACCTCCTTTCCGTCCTAGCGCGTGCGCCCCTCTATTACTTAGAGTATATTTACCCGCGCCTCCTAGCGCGGGTACTTTAAAAACTAGTAGGATTTACTACTATAGCCTATATAGCGACCCTCCTATCGCTACCTCTTTCTATCCTTAGTCCTTAAGGTAGAGATAGAGATATCTATAGTATTACTAGCGTTATCTTTTTCTTATACTATAAAAGAAGATAAAAAAAGAAACTTATTATTACTAAGCTTATAAAGAAGGTAAACGAGATTAGTATATATATCTAATAGTATAGACCTTTTACTTAAATAAGTATACTAATCTATATTTAAGCTTATAATAAGGTAATTATACTTTACTACGTTAGGCTAGCTATATACGTTTACTTAATAAAGTACCTCTTTAAACTATATAAGGTAGGCTAGAATAGCTTTACTCCGCTTTTAATAGAGCGTTATAAGCTCTTAGCCTACCGACTTAACTACGTTAGGTTTACTATAATTAGTATAGAGCTTTATAAGGAGGTCGGCTAGTCTATTTATATTAGTGCGCGTAAACGGTAAGAGATACCTTTATAGGTATATAGATAGGCTCGCGTAAAGATAGTTAAATTAGGCGCGGATATCCCTTATTACGGCGCTATTAATATAGAGCTTCGCTTTTATATAAAGTAGCTATAGCTCGAGCTCCGCGGAGGAGCCGTCGAACTTACTAAGGTATAGTAATACCGCTTTTAGTCGTATAGAGCCCTACTATTATAAGAGGCTCTTAATTACCTAGGCAAACTAAGTATTATATTCGCCTTAGTTTTACGACTATAAGAGTATAGATATTTCGCGTATATATATACCGGCGCGGGCGGTTTAACTAAACTAAGTAATTAAATATCGGCTTTAAAGGTAGCTAAAAATAGCTATTATATATATAGGGATATAAAGAAGGTAAAATAAAGGGTAGATTATACTATTATAAAGTAGGTAGAGGTATAGGCTTAGGTATAGTTTATTAAAAGAAGGTTAATAATCTATAAGGGGGAAAAGAAAGAGAAGTATAGGCCTAGCTTATATAAGCGTAGAGGCCGCTTATATATAGACTTAGCCTAGACCCTAGTCTAGGCCTATATAAGGCAAAAGCCCTTATAATAATAAGGAGAATATTATATATATAGCGTAGTACCTCTAGCTATCTCTACTACCTAACTAATCGTACTATAATATATATTCCCTTATAATTTCTAAAGCATCCCTTTTTAGTTACCTAGTAAAGATAGCTACTTAAAGAAGACTATATAACGCTCCTATAGCGCGATATAGTAGTTAACTAGTTAAGGCCTCTTTATTATATATATTAAGTATCTACTTAAGAGATAAAGAATAAAAAGATATATCCTTAAAATAAACCCTTATTATAGATAGCGTTATAACTATATTAAAGATATCGCTACTTATAAGCGAAAGATAAATATCTTATAAGGAAAAGCTTATAGCTATATAAGCGCGTATTAAGGAGCTAAAAGAGACGAAACGCCTATAAGATTATATTATATAATTAAAGGAGGAAATTACTAAACGCGCCGGTACTATTACTATTTATTTAGGGAAGCGTCGATAGTCTTACTCCTTTAAATTAGATAGTAGTCGCGGTAGTAAGGTTAAGATTAAAAATATCGCTTAATTATCTTAACCTACTAATATATAGAAACGTTTAAACTAAACTTATAATTTCAAGGACGCTTTTAAGGTAGCGCTTAAATGTTTTTATTATAATAAAGTAAAGATCCTCTATATAATAGATTATATATATAGCGACTATAAAGCGAGATAGCGCTAATACTTTAAAAAATAAGCGCTAATTAACTAAACTAAATATAATATAAATTAAGTATACTTTAAAGAATAGATACTTATCTTAATTAAGGATATTATAAATAAAGAGATACTATTAGTAATATAATTAAAGGAGGCTTACTAATAAGAAGGCTAGTCCCTCTTAGAGTTTAGCTTATACCTTAACTCCTTAAAGAGGTATTTTAAACACTTATTAAAAAAGGCACGTACTCTTATATTTTTCGCTAAGCTAAAGCTATAACTTTAAGACTAAATTAACCTTTATTTAATACCTATTTATAACTATTAATAGGAAAAGCTTATATAAGTCGCTTAATAATATTAAGATACTACTATTAATAAGAAGTAATATATTAATACTACTTTTACTTCTAAAAGAACTAAAAATAGAAATAGTACTATACTTTAAGGTAGTATATATAAGGGGAGAAATTAAAGAGACTAATAAGCTAGGCTAAGTTATTAATAAAATACTACTAATTTAACCGATAACTAGTAAGCTAGTAATATACCTACTAAGGGCTAAACTAAGGGACGTTATTAAGGAAGAGGATCTTTTACTTAATTAGGAGTTATATATTTCTAATATAATAAGCTAGGATACTTATTTATAGAATATATTAATTCTTTAAAGGTAGAAACCTTAGTAAAGACTCTTAGACTTAATACTATAAAATAAGGAAAAGGTAAGATATTAAGGTAAATACCTCTCTCTTAATAAACTTAATACTTATAAGATAGTTACTTAAAACTCCTATAATAATATTAAGGCGAAACCCTATTAAAGTCCCTATATACTTAGATACTTATAATACTATTAACCTTATAGATATATACTTTACTTAATAATAAGGATTACTATAAGTAGTATTATTATACCCTAAGTTATTAAGGCTTAGTAATAGTAAGGTAAGGGAGTATAGAGTATAGTTAGTACCTATAAGGGTATTTACCCTTAGTATAGGTCTAGGTATTAGCCTAGACCTTAGCTAATAAGCGTTATAGGGCAGGGCAGGCTATATATATAAACGCGTATTTAATAGTAGTAAGTATAGCGTATAGTTAGATCCTATATAGCTTATTATTATAATATA